ACCGAAATAACCTAAGGACTAAGGCTTCACGTAAACAAGGTAAACAGTCTATAAGCAAGTGTATGGTAAAGAACGATGACTTCAAAATTGTGACAATACACAAGATGTTATAACAGAGGTAGGAGTATATAGTGCGATATGCAATATGACAATAATCTTAAATATATATCAATATTTATAACAGAGGTAGGAGTATGTAGTGTGATATGCAATATGACAATAATCTTAAATATATATCAATATACCGAATATCCTAAACAGAAGTAGAATATACATAAAGTATGACAGATATAAATTTACATTTGTATCAAGCAAGAAAGACATACTAAAATCCAGAGAAGAATAGAGCATAGGTAAATGGCTTGTTACAAAGATCATTCCAAATAAGAGTAGAAATATATGTACATTTAACAAATATAGTTCTGTATTTGTATCAATATACAAATTATCTTAAACAGGAATATAAAAATAGTTTACATTTGTATCAACAGTCTGTGGTCAGGAAGCAGAGAGAGGGGATACTTTCTCCTTTTGTAAGATTAAATCTGTGACTCTAGGCCACGTGGTGATGCTGCCCACCTTCAGGCTGGGTCTTCCCATCCCAGGTAGGCCCATCACAGACTTGCACAGAGGTTTGTCTCCTTCATGGTTCTAAATTCCATCCAGTTGACTTAGTAAGAATATGATGAAGATGCATTGGCAGATGCTCCTTTTCATCGCGGCGTCAAGCTATAGCTTGACGTCCAGCAGTGAGTGAGTCCTGAAGTGAATGTCCTAGGAACATGGCTTTGTTTTCTGTTTGTTTGTTTGTTTTGTTTTGTTTTTCGAGATAGGGTTTCTCTGTGTAGTTTTGGAGCCTATCCTGGAACTCACTCTGTAGCCCAGTCTGGCCTCGAACTCACAGAGATCTGCCTGGCTCTGCCTCCCGAGTGCTGGGATTAAAGGCGTGCGCCACCACCGCCCAGCTCATGGCTTCGTTTTTGGTAGTAAAGGATGCAAAGGAGAGAGATGTGGCAGCATTTGTTGCTGAGTTGTTATTGCTCTCTCTCTCTCTCTCCCTCTCTCTCTCCCTCTCTCAATGGATAGAATTACAAAACTGTTTCTTAGTGAAAAGTACATATTTCATTAAATATTGGCAAATTATCTTTAATTTTATTTATTATACATGGCCACGATCTGAAATTTCAGAGGTTGTTTTGAGAATACATTGTGTTTATAAGGAGAACTGTAAAGCACAGGTTAAATATAAAGAGGATATTCTGTGAAAATGAACAGAAGCAGAAGCTTCCTAGGTCCCCAATTCAAGATTTTGTTCACCTGTTGAACTGGGGCTGCAGGTAGAAGCTTCCTGGACAGGATGCAGTTGTTCTAAGTCATGCCCCACATTTGTGTAGCATTATTATCAAGACAAAAGGCAACTGAAAATGGAATAATGAAGACTAGTATTTTATGATCAGATGCCAAGGTCATTTTTGTAAGGAATTGTTTGAAATGTACACAGAGGTGGCCAGCCTTGGTAGCCTAAATAACCACACAGAGGTGACCAGCTTTGGTAGCCTAAATAACCACATAGATGTGGCCAGCCTCAGTAGCCTAAATTACTATTCTTTAAGTATTTGTTAAATCTTAAATTTTTGCTGCTTTGAGCTACAGTTTAGTCTATTAATAAAAAGTTCCCTTTCTTAATAATGTCAAATTATGTGTGCATAAACTCTAGAAACCCCAGCCATTACTACAGTGAATACATATAATATACACATTATTATTTATTACTAAGGTTTAGATGAACTGCTGGCATAGTAATAATAGTTCTTTGGTTAAAAAACCAGGTTTTTGTGTTTCTCAAGGGCTGTGTATTTAAGTCACGTGATTTATTTATTTATCATTTGAATATCAACAATGTACTTAATGCTTTATTTTGTTAAAAATAGCCTATATTCTTTTGTCACTTGTATTTTATGCAGATTTCACCCTTGCATTCATTTTTTTGCTTGGTTTTTTTTTTTTTTTTTGTATTTTTAAGAAGAAACTAATACTTAATTCTAGGTCTACTTTTTCACACCATTTAATTTTATTTATTTTCAGTTTTCAAAACCATATACATTACATGTTTGTGGGGCAGCATGATATTTCTAGATGTGTGACCGTTGTGTAATGTTCAAAATCAGACTAAAAATACCCATTTTACCAAATATTTATCATTTGTGGAAACTTTCATCAACTTTTGTGGAAAGTTCTCAAAGTCCTTTCTTCTTCTGCTTGTGGTATGTGTAGGGTGTGCATGCATTAAATGGGTTCCATCCCCGGGCTCCCATGTTCTATATTTTGTGTGCGTGCATGCGTGCGTGCATGCGTGGCCTGCTTTCACTTGCAGGTCATTTCATGACAAATAGCTCTGGTCTGTAAATGTCAGTTTCCCGGGTTTCCAAAGCTCCCTTCAGTTACATTCTGGATCTGATAACTAGCAGGAAGCAAACAGAACAAGGCTTTAGGGGATGCATTTGTTCCTTAGTTCCTCAGGATGGAAAAAGGGTGTAACGCTAAAGCTCACACTGACCTTCCTCCTTCCTTCTGTGGCCCCCACTGTCCCTGGATGACCAGCAGTTGCAAAAAATTTGATCAGTGAACTGAAGATGATTTGAGTTCTGCCTTTCTGGTAGGAGAGGAGGAGGAGGAGAAGTTGCAATAGAGGTGAAGGGGCCCTGTTGGGGTGTGCTTCTTTGATTTATGTAGAGTATGGTCCTGTGCCAGAGGCCATGTATTCCCTGGCTAGTAGTGATAGGGTTAGTGTTGGGCGCAGTTCTGGGGCTAGTGGTGTGTGGCAGTGGGCAGAGGCTATCGTCCCCTTGGCACAACATTGTAGAACATTTATCTGAATTACACACTTTGATGAGATATCTAAAGTATTACATAGTTGTTGGCAGCATGCTCAATTGAGTATAGAGGAGTACCCTGGGAATTGTGTGCCTTTTATAGTAAGCACTGGAACTGACATTGTACTTGAAACAAATTACCACCACCATCAAATTTGTATAGCCTTAAAAATTCAAATTAATTGCTACCAAAGCTGAATATGGATGTATTCATAAAACCTAGTTTGCCTAGAGCCACAGACTGGTGAACAGCAGACCCTGGGGGACGCTCTTCACTTCCTTCCCTGTCTGAAACAACATCCAAGTCTGTTTGTTTTTGCAGTGCTGGAGATTGAACCCAGGAGCTTTGTGCATGCAAGGCAAGCACTCTGCCACTGAGCCCCTTCTCCAGTCCTACCTACCCCAGGTCTTTTTACTTCTGGGTCCCGTTCTGCCTGCCCAAGTGTTTTTGCTTCAGGGCTATCCCTGCCTTTCTGAGGTTTGTGCTTATTCAGTAGTTCCATGGTCTTTCTTCTATACCATCTCTTTGGCACATCCTCTTACTTCCTAGACATGCTGTGGTATTATCAAGGGACAGACAGTATTTATTTTTCAGTTCATCATTGCCTTCAGTTTTTCATTAGCGTTGTCTCTCCTGTTTGTCTTAAGCCTTGGTATTAGTTCATTTCCTGTTACTATAATGAAATACTTCTGGCTGATACTTCCTAAGTGAAAAAGGGGTATTCAGTTCACTATTTTGGAGATTAAAATGCTGAAGAGTATAATGCTGGCTCTGCAAGAGCCAGTTTGGCCTCAGCCAAATCAGCACATGGTAGAGCACCTCATGGAGGATCACATCTTGGTGGGAACACATACAAAAGGCAGAGATCCCATGCAAGACGAGTCAGAGAGGATAGGGAGTAGCCAGGCTTTTCTTTACAGCATCTCTTTCAAGAACTGACTCAGTTCTCATGAGAACTACCTCAGTCCCTCTGAGGGCAATTCCCTGTGTCCAAAAGACCACCACCACCACTAAGTAGTCCCACTTTTTAACTTTCTGGGATCTTTTAACACTGTCTCACTAAAGACCAACCTTATAACACATGAACCCTTGGGGAACACTCAGACCATATGTAATCCATGACGCCATCTGGCATATTCATACTGATCCTAATATAGTAAGCATTTGTTTTTAATAAATCCCAGGTGAGTATACCTCATATGTAAGGAAACTATTATTTTTAGATAAACTTTTTAGCCCACAAAAATACTTACTAGTTATATAGTTGATTATCTATAATCCTGTAAAAGGCTGGGTCGATCTCATTTGGTAGAGTACTTACCTGACATATATAAAATTCTAGGTTTAATCTCCACCAAGTAAAATGGGTGTGGAGGTGAGTGCTGAAAATCACAGCTCTTTGGAGGTAGAAGCAGGAAGATCGTAAGTTCAAGACTATCTTTAAATAGAAGCAGAGCTTTCTGTCCCATATGCCCAATTATACCCAGCAGTTGCTTCCCAAATTACCACTCAGAGGCTTATATTAATTATAAATGGTTGGCCGATGGCTCAGGCTTGTTATTAGCTAGCTCTTACATTTAAATTAACCCATATTTCTTATCTATGCTTTGCCACGTGGTTTGTGGCTTGTTACCTCATTTTCTACACATCTTGCTTCCTCGGTGGCTGGCAGACATCTGCCTCTCTCCACCCTTCTTCATCTCCATCCTCAGTTTGATTGTACTGCCTGCCTAACCTTACCTTGTCCCACCATTGGTCAGAACTGCTTTATTATCAACTGATAAGAGCAACACACATTTACAGCATATAGAAGGACATCCCACAGCAGTATCTTCCACTGTTTGAGGCCAGCCTGCGCTACGTGAGACCTTGTCTATTGAACGAATGAATGAATAAAAATGAAATTATTTATATTGTGGAGCCATTAATTAAAAGAAGCTCTTATAACTACAAATTGACTAAAGTTGCAGATTTGAAGGGAAGTATCCTTACTTTAAGAGTAAGTTTCTTCACAAATTGATTTGATGTATTTTCTATCTGTCAGTGCTTATAAGTAATGTGTTTGTTTTACCATATTCTTTATTTGTTATCATTGATGTATGCTTTTTCTTTTTTATTTCCTCCAGATAAAATTGAAGAAGCACAAAAAGAGCTTAATGGGGCAGAAGTTTCCAAAAAAGGTAAGTAAAACTCAGCCCTGTGTCGACTCCATCCTTTCAGAGATGCCCATCTGGACCTCTCAGACTCGAAGCCTTTCCTGCTGGAAGTTGGGCTGGTGTTCTGTGTACTTGGTGGTCAGTCTCAGCACCTCTCCCAGCACCGTCTCTCTCCTCCCAGTGTCCTGATGCTGGGAACATGAAAAGCAGATGCAGCTCCTCTGAGAGCTCTGCTGGACCCTGTCATGTAGTAGCATAGACCATGTGGGCATGACCCATGTGTGTTCTGGTGTTACGGCAGAAATCAACGACATTTCAAACAGTCTGAAGTTGAAGAGGAGTTGAACATTTGTAAGAGGTGTGTTTGATTAGAGAAGATCGTGCATCTTTTTAACAAAATGTTAATTATTTCAAAGGATAGTGATGACGTTGTTAAGAAAAAGAAACCTGTAATATAGCACCTAAACTCCTATTTTCTGTGAAAACAATCAAATCAGGACTATGGCCTTATATTTGTGGGTATGTATATGTATAAACACACTTATGGGATTGGAAAACATTTGGAAGGATTTATTTACGCACATGTGCTTATGAAGTGGGAGTAAGAGCGATCACTGTACTGTGTTTATGTTGCTCTGGGTTATACAGTGGCTATAATTTGTGTTAAAAATCAAAACAGTATGCAGATATTGGTCTCATGGCAGAAAGTATTTTGTCTTCCAAGTACTAGAACCTGCAAGAGATGAGAGCTGTGTGGGCCATGGTGAGATGTGTCCCAGCACTGTTAGTGAGATGGTGGTGAACCTGTAGGGCATGAGAGCTGCATGGATAATGGTGGGATGTGTCCATCCCAGCACTGTCTCCTGGAGAGATGGTGGTGTTAATCTAATGTTGGGGAGAGTGCAGTAAGGTTCTCTTAGTATTCATTTCCATGATTTAGTGTTTACATTCCCTTATTATATTTTCTAATTTGAGTAGACTAGTTGACAGAATAATTTAGCTAAATAGGACCCAGTGGAAGGCCTTTATCTTCCTTCCTTCCTTCGCTTTTCCTTTTTCCTTTCCTTTCTTCTTTCACCTCTAGGCTGATTACTGACTGGGCAATTTCAGAGAAAAGAGTTTCTTCATCTCCCAGTCTCCATTCCTTGGAGCAGCTTTGTGTGTCCCTGTGTGGCGCTGCAGCACTGTGGCACTACAGCACTGTTAGTGTCCTCCTTAACACACACACACACACACACACACACACACACACACACACACACACACACACACACACACACACCGTTCCTGTTCCGTGATCACTCCGACAGGAACCTGACCATTGGTGGTTCTTGCAGAAAAGCCAGACTCGAAAGGGTACACCTTGTCACAGCCATGCTGTCACCGTGCAAGGTACCTGTGCACCTTTGCCCACATGGCTACACTGTGGTATCCCGTGGGGTTAGGAGAGGCCCCCTTCAGACATTGTCACAGTCCGCTCTGCTCACAGCCAGGGGCGGGCGGGGAAGAGCAGCTCCAAGCAGAAGAACGAACGTCACGTGTGTTCCCTGCTTTTCTCCAGAGCAGAAAGTTCTCACAAACGTGAACTAAATGCCGAGAGGAGGGCAGAAGGACAACAAAGGCTGAGGGAAGAAGCTGGGTAATGAGCTCAGCGCGATTGTGCAGCTCTAGCTGGCAGGTGGCTCTGGGGCCAGACCCAGCGTAAGTAACAAGCGAAGGCAGCTCCTTCTCTTCGCTGCTGTCTTTCCCATTTTTTCACACACAAGTTCTGAGCAAGTGAAGGAAAACCGCTTCCCTTCCCCATGGAAGTAAGGACACCAGTTCCTCTCCTTCAGCATGAGGAGAAGCCTTGTGTAAGAGCAGTGCTGAGGTCTCATGTTTTTGGTGGCTTATCGACTTTTCATAAAGGAAGTCTACTTCTTCCATGAAAGGAGACTCTACGAGCGTGGACTTACTTGGTTTTAGATGATGGTGAGCCATCAGGATGTCACTTTGTCTGTGAGCTTCTGACATAAAAACTCGTTTTTGTTTTGTTGATAGTTTTGTTTGTTTTGCTCTACAGGGCAAATGGTCCTAAAATGCTTCGTGTCCACTGAAGAGCCTGTGGGCCTTATCTGATCATGGGTTCTCCCTGCTGCTCCCACTGACGCTCAGAGGGAGCCAGTGTAGCCGCAACTCTTTCAAAACGAAACCCAACAAAAACGTGCTCATTGATCAAATTACAATTTTTTTTCTATTTTTTTAATGTATTAAGCAAGGGCAAGTATGTTCAATATAGACCCAACTTTGTTAGTCATAAATCAATAGAATAAAGAAGTGATTTAAATTGGGCTGGAGGGATGGTTCAGGGGTTAAAGAGCACTGGCTGCTTTTCCAGAGGACCCGGGGCAATTCCCAGCACCCACATGGTAGCTTACAACTGTCTGTAACTCCAGTTCTAAGGGATCTGGCATCCTCACACAGACATACCTGTAGACAAAACACCAATACACATGAAATTAAATAAATCTTAAAAAAAGAAGGGTAAATATGTATGTTCAATGTAGACCCTGACTTTGTCACTCATAAACCAGTAAAATAAAGAAGTAACCTAAGTTATGCTAATGTATTTATTTTGTTCGTTGTATCTGCTTAATGGATAAAAAACTAAGCAACTTTTATTTATTTTGATTTTAATCAGTTTGGTGGTAGTAGGTGTGTGAGTGTGACAGTCACGCCATCCCCATGATGTCCTTGTGCCCCTCCCCAGGTGCTGTCTGCTCTTTCCTTTTTTAATCATTTGGAGGAGAACATAATTGGATCCTTATTTCCCACCTGACAGTGAAGCAGATTCCAGAGAGATTGTATTTTAATATGTGCCTACCACAGAACAACAGAGATATTCACGTGACCAAATGAGAAGGGAATTATTTCTAAGCATAACATCTAAATTAGCTATAAATTAAGTCTGCTTGTTCTTAACGTGCACTCTGCCTCTCAGTATCTGTCCGATAGGATGTGAATAAAATGCTCTCACCAACATGCTAATGGAACATAGGAAACAGATCAGTTCGGAGGGGGTGTGCCCTGTTTCTTCACTTAGATGTTTTGTGCTAGTGGTGGATCTTGTTCTGGAGATAGTTTTTGATGTGGCCAGTTTAACCTAGAAGTTGTGACCCTCCTGCTGGTCTCCTTGTGGGGCATTATAGACGAATTTCTAAATGGTCTTACTAAATAAAAAACACAGAGCCAAATATAGGGGTGAAAGCCTTAGAGAGTTCAGGGAAATAGGGAAAGCCAACAGCCAACCTTACCTCACCAACTCTGTAGTTTCCAAATGCCGTGACTTCCTGTCTACCTACGCTTATATGCCTTGCTGTTCTGCCATCTGATTTGCTCTCTCTGCCCAGCTACATCACTTCCTCTTCCTACCCAGCTCTGTCACTTTCTGTCTGTCTGTGTACAGACCTTCAGAACTCCATGGTTAACTAGTTTTGGAATTTAAGGCGTGTGCCACCACATCTGGCTCTGTTTCCAGTGTGGCCTTGAACACACAAAGATCCTACCTGCCAAGTGATAGGATTAAGGGTGTGTGCTACCATTGCCTGACTTCTTTATTTACTTATAATGGCTTGTTTGTTTCCTCTGATCTCCAGGCAAGCTTTATTCATTAAAGCACAAATGAAATAGAACCCAGAGTTTCAGGCATGGATCAGCACACCTTGTTTGGTTGTTTGTATGCTGTTTCTTCAATCAACTTTAAACCTTGTTTTAAAATAGTGTTCTATGGCATTTGTCCCACATATGTAAAACATGTAATCATTGGTTATAAAGGGTAAGGACAGTGTGGTAACCTCCAGCATTGACACCTGGCTGGAAGTTCTCTTCCCAGCTCTTCCCACTTTCTAATTTAAATGGAAGTAAAACACTGTTTCAGGTTTCTTCCTTCCTTCCTTCCTTCCTTCCTTCCTTCCTTCCTTCCTTCCTTCCTTCCTTCCTTCCTTCCTTCCTTCCTTTCTTTCTTTCTTTCTTTCTTTCTTTCTTTTCTTTCTTTCTTTCTTGCTGTGGGATGGTCTGTATGTCAAATCTGTTGCTCTGATTGGTCAATAAATAAAACACTGATTGGCCAGTGGCCAGACAGGAAGTATAGGCGAGACTAGCAGAGAGGAGAATTGAGGAAAACAGAAAGGTGGAGAGAGACACTGCCAGCCACCACCATGACAAGCCACATGTAAAGACGCTGGTAAGCCACGAGCCACATGACAAGATATAGATTTATAAAAATAAATTAATTTAAGCTATAAGAACAGTTAGCAAGAAGCCTTCCACAGCCATACAGTTTGTAAACAATGTAAGTCTCTGTGTTTACTTGGTTGGGTCTGAGTGGCTGTGGGACTGGCGGGTGACAGAGATTTTGTCCTGACTGTGGACAAGGCAAAAAAAACTCTAGCTACACTTTCTTTTTTTTTTTTTTTACTTCTTTGATGATTAAGCTTAAAAGAAAAAACCTGAACACATTCAGTTTATTTGAGAAAAGACCTATCTCTGCCCTGCACCCAGAACCCTGTGGTGTGAGCACGGAACCCCACACTGAGAACTGGTGGTCTGATCTGCCAGTGATGGGCTGAGGTTCAGGTACAACAGCAACAGAGTTCTGTTTGGGGTCTTTACTTACTAAACTAGGTTATAAAAGTTAGGTAGGAGCTCAAAGTCGGGAGGTAGTGCTGGCCACACTGGGTGTCCCAGGAAGTCTAATGCTGATATTAGGCATGCCTTCCTTCATGTGCGTTCTGCCTACTGAAATGCTGTCCTGTGCTGTCCGTACACTTTCAGAATCCCAAGCTCCTTCTCTTTATCAAAACGTATTGGGTGATAACTCCTTCACTGTTATTCCATTATGTGTGATTTTGTTTGGAGTTTGATTCCCCTCTCTGCCCCACCCCCCAGTCTCTCTCTCCCTCCATCTTTTCTATCTTACTCTGTAGCTAAATCTAGCTTCAAATTCACCAGGCAGTCCTGCTGTCTCAGCCTCTCAGGTGCCGGAA